ATCATATATAAAAAATAAAGTTTTTTATATATATTAGTATAAAAATATTATAAAATTTATATTATATTATAAATTTAGTATATATATTTTATTATAAAATATATATTAATTATTTTAATTTTAAATTATCAAACATAAATAAAAAATTTTTATATTATATTATAAATTATAACACGTATGAAGTTTTAATAAAAATATCATTAATTATTTTGCTGCGGCTTAGAAGTATTTATTTTTACTATTCACTATTTAGTTATTTTTTTATTATAATATTTGCACTGTACAGTGTTACAGTACAAATAAAGGTTAGTGGATATATGGGTCACCTGACTTTAGTTGGATAACCCAATTTAATTCAGATACCTGTTGGTTGCTATTCTTGATTTGTCAGGTTACAGATTCAAAATTTAAAACCGGGTTAAAACCCTAGCCACATGTGTTATATATGCTATAGCAGCGAAAATATATACAATAATAATACAAAGGTAAGAAAATAAAAAAAATATCAAATTTTTTTAGTATAATAAACATACAGTAATTCAAGTGAATTTTAAATTTATAATATCAAATTGCTAATACATATTATAAATAGTATAATTGCTAAAATTACATAAAACTTTTAATTTAATTAAATTACTGTGAATATAATATCTTAGCTTTTTAAAACAATTTTATTTCCTTTAGCTAGTAGGTTTATATTAGTTGCATTGTTGTTTTAGATATTTCTTGAAATTCATTAAACCACTTTAAGGTGCTTTCTTTGTTATTTAATATTTACAAATAAGTTAACTGTAAGCTGTTTAATTATTATATTTTTTGCAGTAATAATAGATTCTAATTTCAATTTTATATTCATAAATTGATAGAAGTATTTGTTAGATTGGAATAAGTAAATCTGACAATTTGTTGAAGTTCTAAATATGTATATTTTTATTTATTATTAAGTGCAGCCAATTAAAGTTTATATTTTTAAAATTGCAATAAGAAATATCTTTGTTATTTATATTATTTACATCAATATAGAAAGACTGTTTAATTAAATAATTATATAATTATAATGTGTATATATATCAATATAAAATGCTAATAATAATAAAAATTGAACCAAAACAAAGGATACCAACTCTTCCTGATGATTATTTGGACCAAAATTTCTCACTAAAAGAAAACAAACTTTTGTTGGAGAGTCATTATAGTCTAACGTAATGGTTTGTCTAGAGGTCAACAGTTTTCTGTTCTGGGACTTCTCTATAAGTTGTATGTTCAGCATGCAAGCCAAGAGTATTGATAGACAAGATAACTGGCAGGAGATGTGCACCCTTGGATACAAAATCTTGATAAAGAGACTGGAGTCTTCTTCGTCGACGAAGTTATCTAGGCTGTTCTTTCTAAAGGAAAACACAGGGAAAACAACAAAAGCTAATTTTTCTTTAAGCCGCACTCTTTTACTTGGCCAACCTTTACTCCTATTCACCTTCTTGTCAGTTTTTCAAAATTTTTCAAAAAAAGTAGAGATTTGGCTTACCCCTTTCAAAAAATCGATATTGTTTATCTCCAAATTCGCATTGACCGGTAGATGGCAACATGTGTCCGAAAATGGATATGATGTTCAAGTGCTAGAACAGGTCTCAGTTAAAAAAAGAATCCCTGACTGCAGCAGCAAGTGGCTTGAGATACAGGTCTACGGACGGCGGCAGCACCTGCTTGAGATATAAATTAAATTTATAGAAAAATCTGAAGTTGGGTCAGAAAGAAAAATAACGATAAGGTATAGTCTTACAGTAGAGATATACAGATATTGCTCTTGTATATAATTTTTATCAACCTGGCACAGATTATAATAGTGCACCTCTGTTTCTTATATGTATTAGGTTCACCTGTCTTTTTTTGCTTTTTTTATCTTTTTCTTTTTTTGTATAGGGTTTTTGTTCGATTCTTGTTTGTATATGCCTTAAATTTTTGGTTTTTTGTAAATTTTGGCATTATTTTTTTCCCTTATACAAATGGGAAATTATAGGCATCTCTCGCAAGAGATATATTTCTCGCAAGAGATATATCTCTCACCCGGCGTACCGATGCCGGATCAGGGTCGGACCCCTTTATATAAACAATGATTAGATTGATAATCATTGTTTTTTTTTATTTTAGTATTTTTTTTTTTTTTTTTCGCTTGTTTACTAATATTTTTTTTAGTTTGTCACTTTTCGCCGTAGGTATCACTGCCATCGTTGGTGTCTTGTCGTTGCTGGTGTCTTGTCGTCGCTGGTGTCTTGTTGTCGCTAGTGTCTTGTTATCGCTAGTGTCTTGTCGCTGGTGTCTTGTTGTCGCTAGTGTCTTTTCGTCGCTAGTGTCTTGTCGTCATTGGTGTCATTGTTAGTGTCATGCCGCCGTTAGATTTTGTGAATTGATCTTGCATTGCTAGTAATTAGTGGGTGGTTTTGCAGAATGATCCTGTAGGGGTGGTCTTGCGTGCCTCCCAACTTTTTGTGTGATTTTCTTTGGTGTTTTTGTGAACTTTCTCTGGCGTTTCATTTTCCATATGCGTTTTTCCACTGTGGATTCGTTTTCAATGTTTTAGTTCTTTACTAATCTTTTTTCATTTTTTTAGATGTCCTTTCTTTATACAGGCTTGTCTTGTCTTACTTCGTTGGGTCTGGGAATTGCCGAGACATGGCTCTTAATTAGTAGTTAGTTTCCTTTTTTTTTTTTCTTTATTTTTGTTTTTTGTAATACTCCGGTATTTACTAACTTTTCTTCTCTCTTCTTTGGCTTGTTTAGGTTTTTAGGTTTTTGTGATGTGGGATTGGCACCAAGTTTTGGTGAAATCGCTGTTGTCGATATTATCATCGATGTGCCGATATTTGTTGGTTTTTGGGTTTTGTCAATGTTCGTTGCATGCTTTGAGACGTGGGATCGTCACCAAGTATTAGTGCCGTTGTTTTGATGTTATAGTCAATGTGATGATATTCGTTAGTTTTTGGGTTGGGTTTTGTTGGAATTACTTCGTTGCGCGCTTTTTTTTTTTTTTTTTTTTTAATAAAATTTATTTATAATCATTACACGATGATGTTTTTATTAAATACTGTATGATGTAAATATGATAAATTAAAATAAATTAGCTGTGCGGTACATGAATATAGCACGATATTTGGATGTTTTTTTTTTTTTAATATAATAAAGTTAAAAAAACAAGTTATCTGGTCCGAAGTTGATCGGTGAAATAAAGGTCTGAGTAGTACAAATAGAGTAGTACTTCGGAATGCGTGTCACGTAATATTCACCGTTTTTGATTGGTTGGGAGATATATCTCTCGCGGGAGATATATCTCTTGCGAGAGATGCCTAAAAGCTCTCTATACAAATATAAGAGATTTAATTATTCTGCTAGGATTTAGGTAGATAAAGTTTTAAAGAAAGATAGACGATCTTGACAAGGTAGACAACAACCTGTCTATGATCAAAGGAGTACTTTTAGTTAATACAAAATTTGATGCAAGTGTTGAATCCTAAGTGAGACTAATAGTTGTTATAGCAGGTCGCATTGGGTATTTTGCTTGGTGAGTTTTTATTAGATTAGAACATTACACTCTAAGAATGTAAGTATTTTGTACTCTCATTAATGAGTAGTTCTGATGAATAAAGACAAGATTGCTTAAAAAAATAAAAAATAAAAAATAAAAATTGAACCTCTGAAGTATTTAGCCACCATGGTCTGTTTGCAAAAGATTATATTAATTATAAACAAAAAAGAAGTTTATTTTATTTGTAAGTGAAAAAAGAAGTAGAGCTGATCAGGCTAAGGCTTGTACACAAAGAATTGCTTATTAGTTATCTAATATATGTATATATATACAGTATAACAGTAAGAACATGTGACATAGATCTACATAGTTAGCAACCAATTAGATACGATTTTTGTCTTATAGTGTTTATCTCATAGCGTTTATACTTAACTGCATATTATATATAAACTAGTGTTTGACCCATAGTGTTGCTATGAAAGTTTATAAGCAAATAGAAAATGTGTATCAGGTTGGTGCACCATATGTATCACAAATGCTATCTTTTAATTGGTAGAGATTTGCAGACAAATTTGCCTGCATAATTACTATTCTTTAAATTGTAATGCAGGCAAATTTGCCTGCGAAGATTTTTACTAATTTTTTTAATATTTAAATTTTTTAATAAAA